TTTTTTTTTTTTTTTTTTTTTTTTTTTGCTGTTTTGGGGCCTTTTTCTCCTCCTGCAGAAGCCTCACCGACGCTTGATGCCCTAAATCTTGTTTCCTTTCATTCAGAGACCGACAGCTGGGATTCAGTGGAAGTGCAGCGGCTATTGTTGGGGGAGGCGGATTAATGCTGTGTGATTAATTATGCGTGGCTTCCCAGAATGCACAGCTCCCTCCCCGCCCGCCTGCTTCTGCATGGGGCGGTGAGAGTCTCTGCAGCACTTCTGTGAGGGTTTTGGGAAGACAGGAGGGGGTGCTGTGCTGGGGAAAGTGGGAGCGGTGTCTTCTCAGTGCCACCAGGGAGTAGGGACAGCCAGGCTCAGAGGACACTGGGGTCTCTCTGGGCTACAGCCTGAGCTGCATGCTGCCTGGGCCAGAAAGAGGGTGCTTCAGGATACAAGCTGCCATGCTCTGTCCCTCCCTGATATCGGGGTGAGACACTTCAAGGGGACAGAGCGATAATGCGACGTGCTGTCCCACCCTCAAGCCTGGGCTCCCTGGGAGCCCTGCCAGCCCAAGCCAGGCCACTGATCAGGGTTTGGGATCAGGGTTTGGGCCGTGTCTCTCCCAGGGGCCTGGTGCCCCCTCCTCCTGGCGGGAAGCCTGCCTCAGTCTGGCCTGGCACTCAGCCGAGCTCAGCCCACAGAGACCCCATTGTGCACACCCCACAGATCCACTTGGAAGGCAAGCGGAAGCGGCGTCCTCAGAGGCCCCACCTCTGGGCGGCACCGTGTTGGAGGCGAGGGACCAGAGCAGGGACGGGCCCCCAGCCAGGCCCAGGTGTGCAGAGGCCCAGGTCCAGGCTCACCGTGCCGTGCAGTTTGAGAGTGTTGCGGCCACTCTGTGCAGGGCTCTGGCCCCCTCCACTTCTAGGGCCTGTGCCTTCCCGTTCTCACCCTACCGTTCCCCGGAGGCCGTGGGAGGTCTGCTGGCGTGGGAGGCCCAGCTCTCCTGGCTGAGGGGGAAGCCACCTTCTTTCCTGAAGGTGCCAGGGTGCAGGCGTCCGGGGCCGCACCGACCTGGGTATGAAGCCCCGCCCTGCAGCCCCCAGCGGGTCCTCTGAAAGTTCTTGGACTCTGCCAATTTGCTGGCTCCCCCATGGACAGGGCGTGGGAAACAGCGGTGTCACAGTGTCGGGCACGTTAGTACCTGGTGAATCATGTTTCCACCCCAAAGAGAAGGAACCTTCCCCAGAAGCTGCTAGTCAGGTGGCTGCAGGGCTCAGGGTCGGAAAAAGAGGCTTCTGTCGGGGCAGACGCCTTCCCAGGAAGTCCCAGAGGCCGGGAGGAAAGGCCCCCCGCACGTCCCGTCCCTGTGTGGCGTGCTGTCTGTGGACAGCTGCTGTGTGGGAAGCTGGTGGCCTGTGGGCAGGCCGAGGGGGGCGTCATTGCAGCCCTCTGCCGGTGGCCAGCCTCTTAGCCGACCCCCTGGGTGTGGAGCCCTCTTCTGGGGCCTGTGCCTTCCCGCTCTCGCCGCCCCTCCATTTCCTGGAGGCCCTGGGAGGTCCGCTGGCGTGGGAGGCCCGGCTCTCCTGGCTGAGCGGGAAGCCACCTTCTTTCCTGAAGGTGCCAGGGTGCAGGCGTCTGGAGCCATTCCTGAATGGGGATCCCCCTCTTCTCTTTTGATTAGGGGAAGGAGAGGGTCTCTGGGGACTGTTGTTCTTTGGGTGAGTGTGCATTTTTGGTCCGAAAGGCTTAAGGGAGTTCCCGGTTCCGGGCTGGGAGCTGAGGCCCCCGGATGTCTGAGGTACTCCCCGGGCCTTCAAGAGAGTCAGAATTTCACTGGGGGCATCGTCCCGATGATCACAGAAGTGGGGTGAGCCGTCACGCCGAGAGCACCGGCAGGAGAGTCCAAGTGGCTGGCAGGTGGTGGGCTTGCGCGTCCTATGTTTGAGGCCTGGCTCCGCACCCCCATTCTCCGTGACCTTGGGTCATTGGGCCACCTGAACTGGGACTCCCTGCGTGTAATGTGGGTCCCATACATGATTGATCTGTCTCAGTGGTGCGTAACTGTTGTGTAAGAGCGGCGTACATGGGCAGCAGGCGAGTCTGTTTCCTCCTGCCTTGTTTTGAGCTGACGGTGCTGGTTTCAGGATCCCCATTCTAGAGTGTTTAGTAAGCTAATGAGTTAATTCAGAGAACCAAAGGGTGCTGCCTGGGGGGCCCGGCCGGCTCTGCCTGGGGAGGGGCCCCCAGCCTGGGGATTTTATCACCCATGATGGCTCTAAGCACAGCCCTTTGGCTTCCTGCCGCAGACACTTTTGGGTGCCTGCTGTCTGCTGGGCTCTGCTCTTGTGGAGCCGAGGTCCTAGTGTGAGGGCAGGAGAGGCAGTGGCATGTGGGTATGACGTGTCTGGTGGAGGTGAGCTCGGTGGGTAGGGAGCTTCCAGCAACCCCGTAACACCACGCAGATCAGGCACCAGAAAGCACGCGAGAGCACAGAGAAGCTGGTGCTCGGCCCCAGGGTCACACAGCCCAAAGCGGTACCCGGGCCTGCCTCTTTCTGTCTTGTGTTCTAACCACTGCCCCGTCCTGCCACAGTGCCCCAGGCCCTCCCTGGCCACTCTTCAAGGAAGCAGGGCTGAGACTACGACTTCCCTTTAAAAGAGGAGGTTCAGAGGTTCAGGCGGGAAGTGGCTTGGGCGGGAAGTGACTGGGCCAGCCGCCCGACTTCGGAGGGACGGAACGGAACGTTATGCATCTTCTGTCACCTGGTCCGGCTGTTTCCATTGAGTCACCTGCGAGTCTTGGGTGAGGCCGGGGGAGGAACAGGTTAATTCTCACCCTCACCCTTAGGCTGAGAATGAAAAAGGGCTCCTCCAGGACTTCCTCTGTTTACACAGCGCCTCAGCTTCAAGAACACAGGGCTAGAAAACAGATCTCGAAAGTCTCACCTACTGGCTCCCACTGTGGGGAGACGTCAAGGAACACGCTGTCATGAAAGGAAGGTGCCTTCTTGGGCCAGGCCCTGCCTCTGAACAGCAGCCAACATTTTTTCCATTGAAAAAAATAATGATAATATTTTTTAGAAAGAGAAAGAAAACTGCCCCTAGCAGGAAGCCGGGGGGGTGGTGGGGGGGGGGGGTTCCCCTAGTGCCAGGTTGCAGCCCAAAGGCCCCATGGGAGCTGAGACCGACTGTCTTCCTCATTCACTGCGTCTTTGATAGGTGGCAGTGGCTGTCGCCAGCAGATGGGGCCCACTGGACGGTGCCAGGCTGGACTGAGGGGTTGCGCCCTCCTGGGGTGGGGAGGACACCTTTTCTGTTTCATGTCTCATCTATAAATAGTGAAAGGATGTGGCTTTCAGAGTTGACTGAGCGTCTAGATTGCTTTCCTCAATAATGGAACGGTAATAACTCCACGCACAGACAGGTGCTTTTATCTGGTGTAATAAAACCTCTGGCAGACCTGTTACTCAGCCAGCTTCCTCCCTCTCCAGGTCATAGCTAGCTCTGCCCTTTTTTAATGCCCAGTTTACAGGTGGGAAAAACTGAGGCTGAGTGGTTAAGAGGCCGGGCATGGGGGTGGGGACCCGAGGCCAGCTTGAATTAGCTCGCATCAGCTGTCGCCGTCCTGTACAGGCAGATCCAGAACTTTCGCGAGCCTTCCCGAGGCTTGAACGAGCGGCTAGCTTCAGGGCATCATGACCGTGAGTTCAGATGTGTTGGATGGTCCTGAAAGCTCCCATCAGGGCTGGGGCTTGGCTGCCTCTGGTGGGGGCGAGCAGGTCCCGCCCCGTGCCCCACCGTGGAGGTCGGGAAGATTCACAGCCAGCCTGCCTCTGGTTTGCAGCGCCCCCCTCAGACATGCGTCACCTCCCTGGGTCTCAGTTTCCCCTCTGTACATGAGAGGGTTGGTTAGGTGGCCCCCAAACTCCCATCCCGCTGTGTCCCAGCAG